ACACTTCAGCTCGTTTTCATCAACACTAATAGAAACAAAGAAGATTCCCTGTTTCTTCAGCTTTTTTTTTTTTCTTGGGGTTTTTTTTCTTCCTCCCCCTCACGGCTCTGAGCTGTAAAGAAGAGAAACACCCACGTCTGTTCTTCCTCACTTGTATGGATCTGAAGACTTTACATCTCCAGCTCAGTTTCACGACCTGGGGTGGATATTTATGTACAAATCACCACGGTATGGATTTGAAGACGCAACACAGTGCAGGACGTTGAGCACCGAGAGCTTAAAAAATAGAAAAATACCTTTAAGTGTTTGCAGAAGGGGTATGGGGGGGATGTGGAAGTGCTGTGCCCCTTAAACCCCGGCGGCAAGGCTGGGCTTGGAGGACACTGTGCTCTGACTCCTTGTTCCCTCTCCCTGTAGGAAGTTGCTGTAAAGTTGGAGTCTCAGAAGGCCAGACATCCCCAGCTGCTGTATGAAAGCAAACTCTACAAGATTCTGCAGGGAGGAGTTGGCATCCCACATATACGGTAGGAATTGCTCGTGTATGCCAGTACAGTGACTTTTCGTTAATGTTAGTGTGAGGCAGGACACCGCCATTATAAAGAGATTTATCTGGGAGGGATTGGGGTGTTGAAAGAAAAATGCTCCGTTCTGAGCTCTACAACTAGTTGGGTATCCAGGCCTGCTGTCTTTAATTGTCTGCACATGCTGTGCTTGGAAAGTGAGATCTGCAGTAGTTCCTGAGCTGTGAGAAATTCTTGTGACGGTCAGAACAAAGTGTGAGACTGTTTCAGTGAGAGCCCGTGTTTCTTGATGAGCTTGGGAGTTTGGAGCCGGTACTGGAAATGGCTGCTTTCTTTTGTTGCCTTTTTTTTTTTTTTTTTTTTTTTTGTTCCAACATGTCTTCCTCCTCCGCTCAGAAAATGGCGGATGGACGTGATTAACCCTCCCCCTTCTCGTGTTGGGACGAGGGACGTGCTCAGGCATGTATCTTTTTCCTTTCATAGTTATGTGCTGGGAGGCTTGAGGCTGCAGAGAACCTCAGCCGGGAGTGAAATGGCAGCTCCTTTCTGTTCCCCGCAACAGATGCGTCACTAGGATTTCCGTAGAGTTAAAGTGCCAAGATTAATCCCTCCCAGTTGCTCATTATGCAGCTTCCTTGCTTCATATTCTGCCTGAAACTTTCTGTAGTGTTTGAGAATTTGCTGACCTGGAAGAAAAAATCACTGGTGTAGCAGACTCCAGGAGGAGTTACTTCTCTTGAGATTATTGAGGGTGTTGTACCGGGTTAGTTCCCAACTATTGCCTCGATGCATTGGGATAGATTAAATGAAACTTCAGTTTTCTCCGGAAAGACTTTGTACAAGAAGTTGTTCTAGTTTTTAAACTTTAAGAATTGCTTTTAAAGTTAGTATTTCCTACGTTTGCACTATGGCAAAAAAGAATTTTGTTCCTTGAGCTGCAGAAACGATTTTGGTTTAGGTATTGGTCAGACTGGATTTCATTTAATCTGTTAACCCTTCCCTGACTTTGCTGTACACGCACCTATATCAGTAGCGGCCTGTACGGCCTATTGTGAGGTCATACTGGTGTCATGTGTGTAGATCATGGATTTGTTTTAACAAAACCTGAACCGAGTCTGCACTTCTGAGATTTATGGCTGCCCTCCTCCCCCTTCCCCTCAAACACAACTGGCTGCGGTCCCGAATGTCCGCTGGAGCCACGCAGCAGAGGAGACAGCGTTGTCCTGGCCATCTGTCCTCATTCACTGCGGCCCCTTTGCAGGAGTAGAATAAACATACCTGACTTAAGCAAATGCTTGCAGCTCATGCAAACAGGTTTAGTCTTTAATTTGGCCCACAGTTTCCTGCTTTTCTTCAAATGGGTGCCCTTATTTCACAACTGAAAGATCAGAAGTTGCATTTTGGAAAGCTGTAATGGTACAGTTGCATGCTAAAACAAGGATAACTGGGAAGGCAGCCAGAGCAAGCAGATATCAGGTGTTTCATTGCAAAACTAGAGAAGCAGGCATTCTTGAACTTTTTTTGAAGAAGTGAAGGAACGTTTGGTGCTGTAACAAGGCTTAAGTTGCAAATTTTTCAAGTTTTCCATGTAGCAGAAATGAATTACTGTTGAAGTTCTTGGATTTGGTTAAAATGCCCTGTGAGGGTGTTTTATTTAAGGCTGAAATACTGGAAGCAATCTTGCATGGCAAGAAACTTGCTTCTAGCTTCAATTACAGCGGTCGTATTTTAAATTTTATTTCCTCTGTACTCGATGTTCTTGTATCTGACTTTGTTTTCTCTGCTTGTGGTTTACAAGTCTCACCACTGCAGGGGAGCTGCAACCTTTCTTGACACACACTTCCTTCCTCCTCCTCCTCCCCACTAATACAGGATTACAGGAACCGAGTGAGAGTTGGCAACTGAGGCAAAACTCAGAACAACCGAAATTGATTCCTAGGCTCACTGTGCTAAAGGTTTGTGATCAATTTGATGGTGTCACTGAGCCTTGAAGTTTTTCTGCTTTCAGGTTCTCACAGTGTTACTTTGTAGCATTTTTCTATACAAGTATCTTTCAGAAAATTTTTGGAAATTTTTAGAAAATTTGTCTTCAAGAGCAGCGTTCGTTGTAAATCCGTTTGTACCAGATGCTGCTTGACGGGTTCTTTGACTGGACTTCTGCTACTAGTTGTCTTCTTGCTCTACAACATCTGGTGATGCTTGAAGGAATCGAAGCTGTGTGCTCAGCCCAGTTCTTCAATAAGCGTTAAAAACGTGATGTCTTCAATAGAAGCAGAATCCGTGGTACTCGGCGGGGAAGGACTTGGCCTACCGAGTGATTTGTATCACTGAGTTGCTGATTATGTCTTTGAATAGGTGATTTGAAAGAGTAAGACCAATGTGAAGTAACTGTGCGTATTGTTTCAGACGTTTCAAGCTTTTCTGACACGTTTTTGGCAGCAGCTAGGCTGGGAGAGTGTGTGACTTTGTACTTAGGTCACTTTGCATCTGTGATTGATGGTACGTGTTCCGCCATTGTGTTATAATGGCACGCTGTCACACCACAGTGAGCTGTGCTTGGCTCAGGGTGTTTAGAAGGATGAATCAATTTGAAGGAAAAATCTTTTGAGGCATTTCTTAAAATGTCTGTAGTGTGACACCTTTAAACAACAAAAACGCAAACAGTGTTTGATAGAAAGTGAATAGATCGTTCTAAACTTTTTTTTGTTGCTGTGCTGTCCAAGCTGGGCTCAGCAGTGGTTTTATCGCAGTGCTTCACATCTGGGAAACAGAGGCCGATAATCTTGCATTCCTTATTTAAGAATGAGGGACTTGTTCTCTATTTTTCATCTACGTAATCTTGGCTGCCTGCATTGCTCGCCAGAAGCTGCGTTATGTGGCTTTGCCTTGCCTGCCTCTGGCACTTGTACTTACACCTGATTTTTTGGGCACCTGTTCTTAAACCTGAATTCTCCACTGTAGATGTGACTGTTAACTTAGTAATGATAAAATAGCACATCTGGAGTGTCATGGAAATTATCTAGAATCAAGCAATTTTTTTTCTTTACCACCTCTGAGGTTAATTTGATGGCCTTTCTGTCTCATTGCAAGAAAGCTAATGAGCAAAATCTCAGTTTTGGAGGTAGGTGTTTCTTAATATTGCTTCTGCGACAGGAACTGTGAGCCTTTGCTTTTGGAAGGTGAACAGGGCCATTGGTTGCGTGCACATAAAATAGCAAAAATTTGGATTAGATTGTCTTTATTCTCTGATTATTCTCAACCGTTTTAGACTTACAAGTCTGTGCCTTTACTGCTTAGTGTTGTTTCCTGGAAGAGTAGCAAAATTTCTGAACTTGTCTCTGGAGTTTCACAAAACCTTATATAAATGCTCCAGGGATTTTTAAGCCGTGGTTTGTTCTTGATGAACAAATTTTGGTTAATTATTACCTTCATTTTTCACAACAGGCTCTTGAACCAAGCTTAACATTCTAACCATCTGATCTGCCTTTAGGACACAATGCAAAGTCTGCAGTATTCTGCTGGGCTTATTCTCATTGTTCTCAGCCATCAGCTGTCCTTTTCTTTTTTCCTCTCTTTTTCAGTGCAAAGCATTTTTAGCTGTAATCTTGTTAACTGGGCACTGATCCTATTAGTTTGGACTATCTGCCTTTATTCCCAAATTCTTGGTCGTGGCTTGGAGGAATGCAGCAGAGCGGGTTTGGTCATTTCGCACGTTTTGTTGTTCACAGTGTAACTCTGTTGAAGCACTCCTTACAAAAGCAGTTGTTTGAATTATCTGTGACAGCCTCTCTTGATTTTTGCCGTTTATGGTGTTTATTGACTACTGTTTGTCCCCTTTATGAAGATCACCTTTAGGTACTCTTTCAGACATACTTTTCAAAGAGAAGTGGACTTCGAATTTTTCTCCTGACAGTATCATGAGGTAACATGTGTTACCGGATTAAAACTGCACACAGCTGTGCTAGAACCAGCTGTGGCTGGTGGTGATGTGTTAGAGGAAGTTTTGCACATAAAAGCAGGAAGAGAGCCTAGTGAGTGTGAAACAGATAATTGTCTTAGTCATTTGTGGGCGAGGCCAAGGAGATACTGTGCAGCATGTGAGGCTAATCAAAGTGATATTTAAGTTTAGTCATCTGTAAACTTATATGCTAAAACTACTGACTTAGCAATTTTATTTTTTTTTTATTGCAGTATTCTCTTGCAAACTGTAAACAAGTAAATCCTTATATTTTGGAACTTTTCAGGGCAGTAAGTTTTTTGCAAAATATCTTGATGTTGAGAAATTCAGTATTGCTATTTAGAAGATTGCATAGTGAAACCTGGGTGGCAAAGCATAATTGTGAAGTTTCTGAGGGAAAAAAAGCCTCTCTAAAAGCGTCTACAACTTTTGTTCTTCTGGGCGCTGACTGCCATGTTGTTGGATAATCTATTAATAACAGACTCTGCCTGTATTTGTATTCATTAAGTAGTGTACATGTAATGGAAAAATGTGGTCAGGTTTGATAATCCTAGGGTTGTTCTCGCAACAGATTTTTTCCTTGAGCACTTCAGATTTGGATTATCTGCAGTTCCCCCTTCCCCCAAAAAAACCCCCAAACCAACACAAAAAAATAACCAAGCCCAAAACTAGTAGTCATATAAAGTCTGAAAAGTTTTATATTTTTTTCATTGATAAGACTGGTACTTCGATTCAGGTCTGCAAATAATGAGAAGGAAGGTTCTAGCAATAGAGCCTCTTGTTAACTTTATATTATTACTTAAAGCTGTACACTAAAGGGCAGAATCACTGTAGTAGATAAAGAGGAAGCCTCTTGTTCTGGTGGCTCAAAGTAAAATTGAAAGTTTTTTAATACCTAAAATATTTCTACAAAGAGAGTATTTTTAAACAAAATCTATTTCCTGTTTTATAATGATATAAACTTCTGTTTTATTTGGTCTTTGCACTTCTTAGAAGCACAGTTTGAAAACAAATGAAGCTATCCTTTTTCGGTTTGGGGGTTTAG